CCAAGATCATCATGTCGTTCATCAAGTCCTTCATCGTGTTCTGCGGCCTTCCTCTTATTCTCCTTCTATTCACATTGCACATGAGTTTTTGTTTATATTTATACAAAGGCAAGAGTAACAATAAAACATAACCATCACTTACAAATGTTTGCAGCTGAACAACATAGGAGCGAGATCCTGTAGACTAGTGGTACTTCACTTTTGCACAATTTTGCTTGTTCATCTCAGATGTTTCCTATAGCTTCATTTGTGTTAGACTGCAACACAAGTAGAGCATAGCAAGACTAGACAGGAAATCGATGGGTTCACACACCTTGTTCTTAGCACTAGACCAAGCCTCGACAAGTTCACACCACTGTGCATCGCTCATGTATGGGACAGGAGAGGTCGTACGGATCTGAGACAGCTACATTTTCAATGTTGAAGGGCAAGAATTCCAAGGAGCAGGGGCGTACACCAAGGACGACGTGGGTCAAGTTTCGATTGTCATCCTCACTATTGTAGAAGAAGCCGGCCACAGTCTGGGACAGCTTCTTATGGTTGTTGGGGTCGAGATGAGGTTTTTCTAGGAGCAACAGACACATTTGTAGCCAAACAAGGAGCGGGCGAGGAGACGGTGGAGGATCCCAACAACGGTATCGTCCGTGAGTCTGGCTAGTGAGTTCCTCTTGTTGGGGGGCTCCTCCATTTCATCTGTAATGAGATCACTAAAGAGGAAAATAATCCAACAAAGATCCAACAGTAAAGTCCACAACTCATACCAAAGTGCAACTTTAACAACCATTAACAATTTTCATGGTACGACCTCAAACAAATTTAGAGTAGCACCACATAGATATATATATATATATATAACTCAAACTAGAGTAGCAGTTAATGGAGCTGTAACCATTACAATTCTAGCTAAATCAAGTCTATCCATCACACTTACAATCAGTACACAAGCTCAGAGCATCTTTTGTAGGAGACAGACAAAGATTAAGAGGACGACAATTACAACAGTTTTAAAGGCAGAAGCACACAGGCACTTACAGTAACAAAATTGAACATATGTAGAAAACCAAGACATCAGCACAAAACCAACCAGTGCCACCTCCTAGTTCTTTTCAGCATCATATCATTGGCCTAACCAGATCTCCAATGCTAGAATGTTTCTTGTATACCTCATGTTCAAGCAAGGACCAAAATAGTGAAGCAAACAGGAAAAGGCGAGAAAGGAGACCTGTGGATCGGATCTGTCGCCTCTGCCGCGGCACACAACGGACACGAACGCCAATGCCGCCATGCTCCACTAGCAAGCCCCGCCGCCTAGCCTCCAAAAGGATGCTAGAGCCACCACAGCACACCGGGGATCCTCCGCTGCCGCCGCCGCTAGTCTAACAGGCACAGATTTGTTTCCACTTGAAGGGAAAATATCAAATATAGGTCAACCTGTAGGGCATCCACACAGAGAATATAATACTATAACGACTCTAAAGACATATCAATACAATCAGGCATCTAGCGCAATGGTAAAGACCGTGCATTCCTTCCTCCGGGTCCCGGGTTTGACTCCTAGGCATTGAGGTTTTTTTTTGAATTTATTAGACCCTGGTGGCACAAAAGGTACAAGTGACACGCAAGCCATCGGGTCTCACGGGTCAGATGGAGATGGAGAATGGTCCCACAGGTACACATGACACGTGAGCCATCGGGTCCCATAGGTCAGATGGTCCCATAGGTACACATGTCACGCAAGCCGTCGAGTCCCACATGTCGGATGGAGATGGAGAACGGTCCCATAGGTACACGTGACACGTAAGCCGTTGGGTCCCACAGGTCGGATGCTGAAGGGTCCCGCAAGTACACATCGGATGGAGAAAGGACCTAGCGGAGACTTTTATGATGAATTGCAAGCGTCACGGATGAGTAATTCTAGGTCCCACAGGTACACGTCGGATGGAGAAGGGTCCTATAGGTACACGTCGTATGGAGATATGATCAGGCGGAGATTTTTATGATGAATTACAAGCGTCACGGATGAGTAACTACAGGTCCCATAGGTACACATCGGATGGAGAAAGTACCGTGTGCAGATCTATGACAAGGCCGTTCGTTACATATCAAATATTGTTCGTCACAGATGTGTAATTATCAATGACGAAGCCCTGTTCGTCATAGTTTTAAAGGAGATCATCACAGATGAGTTGCGTGAGTGATCTGTGATGAAACCCTATGCTCTTCTATGACGTTTTTTGTGATGATGCCTGATTTTGTCATAGAAATGGAGGGTTGCAAGATCGTCACCACTAATCTATGACGAAACAGAAATATTCTTCATAAAAAGCGTTCTTCTATGATGATTTTGGATTCGTCATTAAGATTTTTATCATAGAAGTGGATATTTTTAGTAGTGTAACGATCCACCTATGCATAGAAAGAAAATTTCATAAGCCAACCAATGGCTTTAGTTTCACATTAAAATTCTTCTAGTCATCAAAACAAGGCAGCATATAGAATCTGACTGGGTGCTGCAACACCTTCTTTTGCTCGGCTGGGACATATGTCATCTTTGAGTCCAGGGGTTCTGCATGCCCCTTAGACAACAAATTGAGTCATCATCTCTCATGTTAGGGCCAGGTTTGGGTTTCTTTAGATCAATCTATCTTCGAAGAGTTGCCATCATAGGTTGTGAAACCCTAACTTCAAGTGCTTAATCATACATCAGCAATTTACCATTTCATTGAGTTGCTTTTTTTCTAGTTCTTACTTGTGTTCTTCATTTTGGATGCATGGATTAACCCTGTAGCAAGCTAGGTCAACCAGATTGTGATATGGTTGATAGCTAGAGGAGACATGGTACTAAGGTTGCATGGTTTAGGTGTTTTTTATCTGAAGCCAGATCAATGTGTCTCTATGCACCAAAACGATAGTTATCTCCACCTGGCGGAAGATCAGCAACCTCGTCCCATCAAAAAATCCAATGCAATCTTTTAATATATATGTATAGTAGTGAGGACTGTCTTAACCGTAATTAGGTGACCAGCTATTGTTATAAGGGTGGCTTTCCAACCAAGAAGTAAATCTATCACTTTATCAATCAAAAGGTGTAGCTCAGTTTTGGTAGGTTTTCTAGTTGTAAGTGGAAGACCAAGATATGTGCAAGGGAAGTCCTTAATTGCATAGTCCAATGTCTCTTCAATGATTCTCAGATCATTTTCAATACACTGAATGGGGATGACTAAACTCTTGGCTAGATTAGTCTTGAGTCCAGGATCATGCCCAAACACTTCTAAGAAAAGATTGCAGAGTTCGAAATCATTTCTCGTAGGACGATGAAACAACACAACATCATCTGCATAAAAAGGAAACTCAAAATTTTGCTTGCCGAACTACCACTGGTTGTTGGTAGATTACTTGCTTAATTAGGTTTTTGATTTTCTCTCTCCTATATCATGGTTGAGGCATTTATGAAACAAATTAGATCAAATCTTTTTGAATGTCATAGGTTAAGTTTAGTATGACAACATGATTCTATACTTATTTAGTGGCCATGTTTTAAGTTTTGTGGTCTATTAAATTGGGAATATATCTAGATCTATATCTATATGTAGAAGTAGTTTTTTCTCATAGTAAAGTGGTTTTCCTCTAGGAACTTTAAACCCTAGGGACAATACCATTACATGTAGGATAAGCTGCCATGTGGGTAGATTTCTCTAGAACTTCAAATTCCCAGGGAAAGATGCTTTCACTGGGAAACCGTAAGGTTAGTTTTGTTTCCTCTAGGAAATGTGGAGACTCACGAGGCCACGAAAAGAGCCACCACTGCCTAGGGTAGAGTCACCGCCACATGCCTGCTCCTCGCTCCACCACCACTACCGCCACGCCTAGGGCCCCTCTCCTTCTTCCTCTCCGGTGCGTCAGCTGGAGACAAGAAGGGGAGGGGACTTATCCTTTTCCCGTTGTTTTCTAGTGTCTTAGGGTTGAGTCCAAATAAATTTCCGGCGAAGTCAGATGATTTTCGGTTGGGATCATATGTCCTACGATGAATTCGGTGATTGTCATGATGAGATCGTCGTTGCAGGTGTCGATTTCATCGGCAGGCACTCAATTTGTGGCCTTTATCTACAAGGGGAAGGGTGCTTCTAGGAGGCCCCTACGAGGACAGTGACTCTGGGTCATCGATCTCATCATCAATGGTTACGGATAGGAAATCAAGGTCTCGAGATGATCAATCCGCATCCTATGTCATACTTGACGATGCAACTGTCGATATTCTTTCGGCGATTTAGATGCGTTTTGGACTGGTTTTGAAGCGTTGGATCTTGTGGCATGTCCAATGTTTTGGGGTTGGTCGTTGGATTCGACATAAGGGCTGCACTTTGGCTCCGGTGTTCGAGGGAAGTCATTGAGGAAGAAGATGATAGAAGAATCTTGATACAACTTATGTGTTTTTTATTTCAGATTTTTTTTCATGTATAATTTGGAATGTACTGTGCTAAAATTTAACATAAGTCCCCCTTTCCTTGAAAAAAAAAAGAAATAATCTCTAGGAATCTTCCTCACCAAAAGTCATAGCTAGGGAAATAGTTTTTTCGGATTTTGGACCCTAGAGAAACCGTAGATTTTCAGCAGAGGCTGTCATACTAATATATGCAGGACACAGGTAAAGAACATGGTTTAGCCCATTCAGCCCATGATGAATCCCAATCATGCTGGAATCTTGTCAAGAAAACTGCAAAATTAAAATACCAGTACTATATGACAAAGGAAACTTCCGAACAACACTCACCTACACAGCATATATTGCACTACTACGGTTTTGGTTACATTAAGCAGTTTATCGCACACATATATGCATACACACACACACTACATTCACAACTTCTCACTCTCAGAAGCAAAAGAAAATAAAAGAGCTGAAAATTTATGACATCAAAACACACATATATATAGACCAGCACCTATCGAAGCTCATCCACGCAGAGCGCCCTTAATGGTGAGGCGTGCGTACGGACTCATCAAGCACCGTAGTCACTGCTTCTGTTGGTAGCAGTGGGGCTCGCAAAGGTCTCCGTCCATTGGTCCGCGATGTCGCTGGCGATCCTAAGAGCGTCGTAGGAGGTGCCCATGAGGCCCTTCTTGGTGAAGCCGGCGGCATACAGGCCGTTCTTGCCCCTCCAGCTGTGTGGGAATGGCTTTCTTGGGAACCCATCAAAGTGACTGAAGAGCTCTTCCTCCTGTATATGCAAGTGCAAATTGGAATGTAATAAATTAGAATTTGCCTTTTTTCTTTTTAAAGGATCAATGACTAATATAATATATATAATCATCGAGTCCAAACTGCACATACGGGTTGATGAACTATACATGCATCTAAGTTATTTATAAATTTATGCATTTCTTCTACTCCTGGTGAACAACAGACATCAGGTTGAAACTAGAAAGATCAAGTTTAATAGGTATCTCTTAAATCGGTTGGTTCCACAAAATGTAAATCAGCAAATATGTTGTTGCAATTAGCTCTACTAAATGCATATGTTGATGGTTTTCTTAACTAGTATTTGTCAGCTGCACAATGAGAAAAAGAAAAATAATGCATGATGGACCAATGAACAAGCCTTGCTTCCTCAATTTTTTTTGCAGTAAACAAACTCTACAACCATTGCTCACATTTATTCAATGCTCAAATCTCAACCATCTGTTCAACTGCAAATTGAATGATTAATTAAGTATCTCAAAGCATGCCAAACACACTTGCAAGACGCGTGGTTAGACAGATGGGATCCATCAAACAATCCAAGCCAGCTAGATGGGCCACCCTACAAAAGGTAGAGTGGGCGCAGCACATGATGATGAGCAGATCGATGGACCTCACCTCTCACACCACCAAATCATTATGGGCCAGCCTTCATGCATGCATGTGCATCATCACCCAACTCTCCCCCTGTGTATGCATGCATGGGGTTTCTGGCAACCGTCTTTACCAATCCCAATCCCATCCCAGAGGTCGAGCTTCCTTCCCACACTTGATGATGGCAAGGAGGTGCAAATGGTGCATGCAAGCTACTTATTACTTATAAGTTAATAATTGCATGCTTAGAAGCCTAACATGTTCTCTATTTCTTGTCTGTGGTTTGGTGGAAGTTATAGGCCGGGGTTGTTTGGTTCAAACCAAATTTCGGCATAATCATCAGACCATGCGAGGTTGCTGGCCCAGTCTTCGAAGATGCTCATAGGGTAGGGTTTACGTGCATGCGTTCATAGGGGTGAGTGTGCATGTGTGGTCAGCGTTGTACTATGTAATCTCAAAAGATAAAGGTGGACTGGATAGGCCACATAAGACTATTTTATGCTAGAAACAACAAACTAATATTTGTATGGTGTATTACAATAAACTCAACTTCATTTTGCCATAATATGTTTCTGACTAGTAAACTCCACATGTGGCAGATGATACAATCTCCTTTGAATAGACTTCAATCATTTTTAAGAAAAAAATTGTTCTCCGTTTTATTCCTGTTCTATTTTCCACTATGATCACTGTTGTCTGGCCTAGATGCCCATGTTGATACGGGCTCCACTATTTGCATTGATCAGGATAATCATATACACACCAACAAGATACAAACAGAAGCACAAATACACACACATATAAAAACATTATATGGCAGACGCATGAAAGCTACAAATGCAAGCTAAGATCGAGCCGCCACAACGCTCTCCATCCTTAATTTGGTCTATATCTATCTAGTTTGCATGGTCCAACTTTGACGTCCTGACGTGACGTCAACAGTTGTACATATGAATGTCCATATTTGTCTACATATATGCACACGCGGGCACGCAAGATGCAATTTTATATGCATGAAGATATATACAAGGAAATCAAGTACAAGTAGTAGCTATCGTACCAATGCAAGTACTTCTATATTATAAAACAAACACATATATGCCCTATAACATTGTGTCCATTCCTTTCGGTCTCTGCCTAAACTGATTATTTTCTCCACAGATTATGTTGCACAAAATAATACCCACATAAATCAACATTGCCCTAGATTGTCAATTTTCTTGGTGACCAAATTTCGTGTCACCGTCGGAATGATATCGCCCTCCCTTAAGCATTATTGTCGTGGCCCATGCTTTGTTATCTAGAACTTCGCTTAATTAATTGGAAAATGACTACATATATATACACATGGGCAATTGGGCATCGAGTTAACTTCATATATATGAGATGCATGCAGGAGAATCTGATTCGCTTTGATGATAGACTGACATAATATTTACCACTATATATCAAAAAGCCATGTTTTTCCCAAGATTGATCATTAATCATGCTCATTTAATGTGTAAGTACGTATATATGTACCTTGAGCCATGAAGGCACGTTGCTTTTGTACCCGGTTGCGAAGATGACGGCATCGAAGTCCTCTCGGTGGCCATCTATGAATTCCACCCCATTCTCTGTGAACCGCTGGATTGCCGGGACCACCTGCAGAATCTCTCTAGATGCATTAGTTGAGTTGAGACACAATATTTTGTCGCTGAGGACTATACGTACTGACAACCGATATCAACCTAGGACTCTCCTTTGTGTTGTTTCGAGATCTGTGCAGTTTTTATTTCCTCGCAGCACATTATTGAGGTTCCATTTAGAGTAGCGCATCTATCACTCCCACAGTAACTCCATGTCTCATGAAATTCAATTCATAGGTACTCCCTCTATTTTTAATTACATGTGTATTAGCTTTGTGCTAAGTCGAACATTTGTATCTTGATCATTGATTTCAAAAAAATATAAGTCCATAACATAAGATTTTTTTTAGATTCACTATGAGAGATACTTTCATAATATATAATTCATATTTTGTGAAACAACTATAAGAATCTTTTGAAATGGATGGTCAAAGATAGTAATGTGTAACCAATGACAATGTTAATGTCTGGTGTAAAAAAACGGAGGGAGTAGTAAGTTTTTGGGCGTAGGATCACATATATATGTACCTTTATTTCTCTAGTTTTGATCTTTCTGAGAGCTCCGATGTCGAGTACGGGTGTTTTGCCGGTTGAACTCTTGATTTGAAGCGGACCAATCTTAGGTCGTGGGAGACCATATTTTTCAGTGTCTCCAAGGATCAGTCTTGTGAAGAATAGAAGCAAAGAATCGACCTGTTTTATGGGCAGCCACCTGAGAAGGAACACGGAGAGGCCAAACGTGGAAATGCCTAGTATCTCCCTCGGCAACACATGAATCTGAAAAAAAAATAACACCATACACATAAGTATATATATGGAGCATAGACGATACAAAATCATTCAGCTGTTTTCCAAATTTTTGCTATTTGATCGAAACCAAAATATGCGTAGGTGTGTTCATTCATTTCTGTTAAATGATTTCTGTAGACTAATCTTTTTAAAGAAAAAAACAGTGTATGCAAATTTTACAATATAGATATTTATCTAGAAAAAGACGTATTTTTTCTAATAACTACTCCCTCTGGTCTCTTCTATTAGTAATTGCATCATGTCGCTGGACAAGGTATGCAGGTGAGTTGACACTTTAGCCTTCACGTGAAACAATTCGATGACATCAACTAAGTGTAGTAAAATTATTATTTTGGTACACATTGCTCCTACTCATTATATACTACTCCATCCATCTTAAAATTTAAGGTATATAAGATATCAAATGTTCAAAATTTGTCCCAAATTATAGGGTATTCTATATTGCTCAACTCCATTCATGCATGCCTGTTTTTTAAACCTCCCTCCATACATGTATTTTAAACATTATCTTACGTTAAATGACTCTCATTTGTAGCCGAAATCAATGACATGCATGCATGCCATTTTAAACTATGCATTACTAGAAAATTGAGCAAGTTGACAACCAAGATAACTAACTAATTATTAAGGAGCAAGCTAGTCTTTTGCCATACTACTTATATTTGGTCCTAAAATTACTTATATCCGGGACAGAGGGAGTAGCTCCTAACAGCCTCATCACTGTCAGTGCAAAATAAATTAGTTGCATCATTTCTTCTGATCATATATTTCCATCTAAACTCATAACCCATCTCCATTTGTAGATCGTCCAACTACATATAGAATAAAGTTTCGACTTAGAAAATTACTACTGTCGAGATATTTCTCATATATGCCATTCTATATATAGGTAGCTAACTCTCTGATGTCCAACATTTTTCTTACTTAATTTCTTAAGGAGAAAAAAACACGACGCCACTTGTTCGCAGTTCTCGAGGGTTCTGAAGTTATGGATCTATTTTCCCCCTGTCAATTTTCTTGTTATTTTCCTGTTCTTTCCCTTTCTCTCAGGCAGGCATACAAGATAAAGAAAGGAAACTTAAGGGTCACTGTAGCACCACGTCAGTACACATTTCTATGAAACAGCATGTTACAAGTAGCACAACATATGCTTCACAAGATCGATATTTCAGGATAAGAAAGTTTCATCAACTAATTTCTATGCAACAGCAAGTTACAAGTAGGGCAATGTATGCTAATTAAACATACACTGCCGCGATCGAGTTGAAGATAGGGAATTGGGAGTAAGAACTTTCAGGATTCTTAATGCTTTTACATCTATTAAAAAATAGTAGTGCTATTGTGTCAGTTCATTTTGAACATCAAAAATATATTCATATCTATATATTAAGATTATATTCCTTTTCTTTTGAAAGTGATAGCAATCTACACACTCATGAGGGGGCAAAAAGGAAGGAAACCAACGTGGCACTAAACAGAATTGACCACTCAAGAAAACCAGTTCACAGAATTATAAGCAGAATTATATATATATATAGCTGTGGACATGGAAACTGTGCCTATATTTTTTCTTGGCAAAACGGAAACTGTCTAATATAATCTTGAGCTAAGATTTCTTGTTGTAGCATTTGTTTTAAATCCATACACGTTGAATCCGCAAAATAAATTTATGAAAGGAATTTATATCTTATTTAGGCCTCATTTGGTTCATGAGAATGATTGCTAGTCGGACGGCTCCTTTGCTAATTTATATAACGCCGGAATGGTTCCTAGCATGGAACGGCCGTTCCAGACTAACCAAACGAGGCGTTAATTGGACAACATTTCTTCCCGAAAAATTGACACAATGCTGACGATGCAGTATTAATTTCACGTTGAACTGCTTGTCCAGGAAATGATTGACGTGAATTTAATTAACCCATAATAAGTCCATGTTATGTAATTACAGTAGTATTAGTAGTGCGCACGTGGAGTAGGCACTTAGTTACCTTGTCCCTGACAACCATGGAGGCTCTGGCGCCATTGTTGCAGAGGTCGAGGCTGACCTCCATGCCGGAGTTGCCGCAGCCGATGACGAGCACATTCCTGCCCCTGAATTCGTCCCCCTTCTTGTAGCTACTCGTGTGCATGGCGACGCCGCGGTACACGTCCATCCCCTCGACGCCCTCCGGCCACGCCGGCTCCGCATTCTCGCCGGTGGCCACAACGAGCCACCGCGACAAGAACTCGGTGGTGGCCGCCGTGGCGCCGCCATCGCCACCAGCGTCTTCATCGACGGTGACCCTCCAGAACCCGATGGCGGCGTCATAGGCCGCCCTGCGGACGCGCGCGCCGAGGTGGGGCTCAATGCCGAAGGCGCGGGCGTAGTCGTCGAGGTAGGCGATGAACTGGTCCCGGGTAGGGTACGTCGGCGTGCCGGGCGGGAACGGCGCGAGCGGGAGCTCGCAGAAGCACCGGGGCAGGTGCAGCCGGAGCCGCTCGTATGTGCGGTGGCGCCACGACGCGGCCACGCACCAGTCCTTCTCCAGCACCAGCGACGTCACGCCGCGCGCCTTGAGGCACGCCGCCGTCGCCAGCCCCGACGGGCCGGCGCCCACGATGACCGGGCCAGGCACCCACACCTGCCTCGAACCGCCGCCGCCGATGCCACTGCCGCCGGCGTAATCGCCGACCCCGCCGCGGTGTAGGACGGTGGGGTAGTCGTCGTGTTCTGCTTGTCCTTGTTCTCGCGATGTTGGCATGGCAACAAAAGAGACGACAGGTGTATGTGTATGGGAAAGACGTTGCGCTTTCTAGAGCTGCAGTAGTTACTGTGGAGTGTTGAGATCTCTCTGTCTCTCTAGGTGTGCTATTCTGAGAGTGGGCTCGTGCTCAACAAGCATATATAGCTACACGCCCACACCTAGTGCTTTATATACAAGTCTATCTATCAATTCAATATGTATGTGTGTGTACAAACCGTCTCCGATCCGGTCCAAGATATACGCCATCCTTGGTGTCTATGTTTATACGAGTACTTGCTTTTGCTGTTCTATACGATACGACTGGAATTTGTGTTAGACTGACAACGATAGTTGTAGATACTAGTGATGGGCGATATTCAGGGAGACAGGGGACAACATTTATATCCAAATCTAACAAGTTAGCGCATGTTTGGGTCCATTAATACTAAAAATTAGCTAGCGGCATTAGAGGATTTGTTGACTGTGGATTTTTTTTTATTACTCTTGGTGGTTACCACCACCTAGATGGCTTGGAGTAGCAGATACTCCATTTAAGCACTTAAATGAAGATTATGAGGATGCCTCACACGTTGGGGGCTTCCACCACTCCACGGCCTGCCTCCTTGCCGGCGTTAGGCAACACTCCAGGTGCCACGGCCGCGCCGGAGGAAGGGTAGACCACTCCGGGCGCCACATCCATGCTAATTAATGAGAGGCCGCCTCCATGGCGAAGCGACGTCGCTCGCCAGGGTTCGCTGCCACTCCGTGGCCCACCTCCTCACAGTTGTACACTGCTAAGGGCATTTTGTTCACGTAGACGATGGGGAGGTTGCTCCGTGTGCCACATCCACGCTGATGAAGGGGAGGCCACCGTCATGCTAGAGCAGCCTTGCACACTAGGCGTTGTCTTGACGGTAATTTCATCACATATTTACATAGCCAAACCCGTCAACAAAACATCCTTTCTAGGAGATAACAAGCAAAGAAGTAGTGATCTTTGGTGCAAATAAACTTGGTTCCACTTGTACATGCCATCATTTGCTTGCAAGTATAGAATTGAAGGATTTTGGGTGGTTGTGGGACAACATAGGGGGTCAGTCGACCACCCTATGGGCCCACTGCCCCCTCTCAAGCTTCCCATCATCCTCCTAGATAGTTCTAGAGCAATGTCATTCCTTGGATCACAAGTGTGTTTCTCTCAATGGCTAGAGATGAGAGCACATGGTTTGATGGGTGCATATGTCACCAAACAGACGTGACAAGCCAAATTGGACAACACTTATCCACTCTATATGAAGGCAAGAGGTCCCACACCAGAGGGGGTGGCCCCACCAGTCATAGAGAGGTTGGTCGACCCCACCCTAGTCGGTCGACCACCCCTTTTCATTCCACCGCCTTGGTGCATGGAGGCATGCAATGAAGCACAAGTGTGGAGCATCCTAGCCCTTGATTTGAAGTCGGTTTGATCCTATGGTTGATGAAGGATGTCACATGGATCCATGGGTCCACCTAGAAGGCTATAAATACCCCTACCCCCTCACTCTCATTCATGGCACGAAGGAGGAAACTACACTCTAGTAGCTTAGGCGAAGCCCTGCTCTTGTAGCATGCAAATAGGGAAAGAGTGAGGGAAGTCCTCTAGAAAAAGGCCTGGGTCTATTGGGAATCTTCTCCAAGGGTGTACCTCGGTGGGTGTGCTCTTCTTGTATGCAATACATCCGAGATTCTTTATAGCAATTGATATCTAATTCTAGTATAGCAATTGAGGGCAATTTGATGGCTGCCTGAGTAACAGTCAAGGAAGGAGAGAGTACAGTGCAACCCGCAATATTATCCATGATCTGATCAATGTGAGTTAGCCCGAAAGGATCTTTCGAGCAATGCTTGTTGAGGTCTCTATAGTCGATGCATCCACCACTCTTGCGAGTCCTTCTATCTCACTAGCATCGGGTTGGCGAGTGTCGTGGGGTCGGAACCACGGCAAGCATTGTTGTTCGAGTTGGTGTCAGAGTACGTGTCTCCGGTGGCTCGGGTGGACTCAAGAACAAAAGAATCACAGAGAGGACGCAACGGTTTATCCTGGTTTGGGCCAATTGATGCCCTACGTCCAGCAACTGATGATCCTTATACTCAAGAGCACCCAAAATCGGGGGTTACAATAGAGTGTACAGGAGGTAGAGAGAGATTTGGTAGGGGGTTAGCTAGTGCTAATCCTAAGGTTGCCTCACCGCCGGTGGAGCCTTCCCCTCATCAAAGAGGAGGAAGACAACAAGAGCGGTGGAGGAGCTCTTGGTTCCCCTCTCTGGGTTGCTCTGCTCTCGGTGTTGAGTAGGAGAAGATCGATAAGGAATGGAATGATCTATCTTGGATCGTCCTCCCCCCTCAAGGGTCTGACATTATCCCTTATATATCGAGGTAGGCCAGGTACATGGCGGTTTGGGGGGTTTAGCCTATGGTACTACATGCGCCAGAGTCCAGGAGGATCTTGCAGCGGTGCTCTATGGACCGTGGCGGTGTCATGAAGTCAAAGAAGCCTTGGGTGTCGTCTGGCTGGCCTGTTCTGACACACTAAGTGTCAGTCTATGTCGGCTTGGATCGGCATCTCCCAGGCACACCTTCTAGAGCCTTCTTGTTGACGATAGAGGTCGGCTCGAGGGGCTGACACGTGGACCCAGAAGCCCCCAAGCCCTCAGAGGCCAAGAAGAGCTTGTCTTCTTGTGTCATGCCCATGCGTGACCCTATCGGGGGAGCGGCCGACAAGGCCGCACCTAGAGTGCTGAGTCACGGAGCCCCTGAGCCTTGATGGCTCGGGGCGTGTCTTCTAGTGCCCAGGCCTTGGCTAGCATTGTATGCCAGGCAGGAGCCAAGGGCCAAGCTCTGTAACGACTCGAGTTCTGTTACACCGTAAGCTTTCACCTTTTGGTCACCCGGATAGCACCCATCGAGCTCCATAGCAACCCCTAACCCTTCTAACTGGAAGAAAGCATCGTCTCAATCATCAACGACTTGGCAACACATCAAGTCAACCATTGGTCAACTGAACGACCAACAAAGAAAGATATCACTCAAAGGACCCAACTCTGGACACTATGATAGTCAAGGATAACTAAGGCAGTTATAGGCTTCAACATGCTCTTAAGATTGAAGAGATCAGGTTTATAGATTTAGAATCAGTAGGACATTAACCTACCAGACAGTCCACCATGACTACTGGATCATCCGATAAAACTACATCGACAACAGAAAGAGTGGGAAATGAGCTGTCACCCATTATTATGCTATGGCCCACATGTCAGCACAAAGTGGAGACATATCCCAGCAATAGACCCTAAGCTCCACTCACTCTCCCACTCTCCCCATTTCCCTTGTTCCTCTCTCTCTCTAGAATGGAAGGCAAGAAGGAGAAAGTAGGAACTAGAGTGAGAAAGTGGAGAGGATGAAGAAGAGAAGGTGGATCTAGCTTATCAAGGACAGCAAGAGCAGCTAAGGATCAAGATCATGGACTTCAACCATCTCTCATCCCATGGTTAGCTCAAGAGCTCTCCCTTTCTACCATCTTGAGGTCAATCCCCAAACCCTAACCCAAGTCTCTTCTCTTGCATGGATGGATCATGGGGATTGCTTGTTAAGAGATACTTCAAGGATGAAAATCAAGTATGTTGCAGCTCAATCTCTCTTCTTTATCGAGGTTTCTCTTGAAGTAGTAAGTTAGTAGTTGTGCTAGCTAACCGAAGCCATAACCCTAAGCATCCTAAGCCTACTAGAGATGTCTAGCACGTGCAGGAAGGCCATCGCTAAAGATCTAGGCATGAATCCCCAAGCCTTCACCCAAAGACCAAAGAGTATAGGTTCTGTCGCCCGATTGACGGAGCATCCATTGGTAGGATGGAGTGTCCGTTGGACCTGAGATTTAATTACCAACAGCCTAAATACCTTTCAGGGGACACAGCGGAGTGTCCAACCATCGATCAGAGTGTCTGTTGAATTATAAAGACTCACAGCTAGAGAACTCAAGAGCACTTAGTTCCTATAGGATCGCCCATCACACACGTCGGAACATCCGTTGAATCATGTACGCAGAGCAACCCAGTAACCTGAGAGCACCCAAAACCCATCGGAGCGTCCGTGAATCCAGTGGAGCATCCGCTAGAATCGAATAGAGTCAACCTGAGGCAACCCACCTCGGCACCCGGCATAGTGGAGTGTCCATCAGTAGGATGGAGTGTCCGATGGCCACAGTGAATGTGAGGATTGGTCAGTAAGTATACTCAATAGGTCACCAAGGTTAGATTACATCCTATGGCGATAAGGTCACAGTAGATGTCTCTCCCAAGACCCAAGTAGAACTCCTAGTTTCCCTATCTATCATGTGATCGTCTCCAATCCTTGGAACCTCTCCTTTTAGGCTTGGATGTCTCGTTTTGTGCGGATCGTGTTCGAGTTACCGCTAGCTTGGAGTCATCAAGATCGGCAGCACTACCAGGCAGGCACCCCACTATTATGAACCCTACTTTGGATACATATCAAGTTACATTATGAGTCATGCATTACATGTAGTCTTGGATAATGATCACCTTCACACTACACCTAGAGTATCTTAATAATCTGTAGAAGCCTCTCATCTAAACAATGGGAATGGGAACGCTTAATGCTTATTGCTTAGTTGCTTGGGCAACGGTAGAAGTCGAGCATGAGAAGGGAACTCATACTAATGCATGTAGGATGTTACACCTGGATAATTAACCACTAAAACCAATGAGGGTACAACTTGACTTACCTGACTAATCTGGCTAAGGACTAATGTTCCTAATATGATAATCCTGATGATAACTTGGATATCTTGCTCATGCAAGGGGTAGGTCGTCGTGAGTGTGGGATCTCAGATGTCATAGCTTGTGGAGCAGTAAGGACTATGTATTGGGATACGTAAGTCTGAGTAACCACCCGTACAGACCACATGTCACGGATGGGGTCAATAAGCCAAGTAACTAGTTGCGATCTGTTTATCCATGAAACTG